AAGAGTGAAAAACTTCAAAAAAGAAGAATCCTTACGCCCGGAATCATCCTTGTCTCAACCATCTCTCTTTCCTGTTTTTAAGATTTGCCTAGTGGGGGCCTGATAGGGGTGGATGCTCAGTGGGGGGCCTGATAGGGGAGGATGCTCAATGCTCATAGCCTAGCCCTGGGTCCTGCATTGGTAATGGTGTGGTGTTGGTATAGGGCTGCCCTGCGTAACCGAAACCGGGTAATGGCCCCGGGGTGGACGATTCAATATGTATATAATGGGACGCTGCAACCGGTTTCCAGCAGGTGCCGCTCCCCACCAATGGATCAGATCACCCAGTGGATGCTCATATCACCCCCTCTAGCGGGCCTTGCCTGGGGGGGGGGGTGTTCTCAATGACAACAACAAAAAAAAGCTTTGTCTCCGAACTTTGGATAAGTTGTGTGCATCATCTGAGAGCTTTCCAAGCTTTTATGAGCAACGATGCTTCTACCGCAAACTTGAGATAAGTTTTTTGATTCTTTGAATGGATTTTCTAGCAAAGCAGAAGAGAAAAATATCCAGCTCTAATCTTTCAAGAGATTCAAAAGAATCGAAACCTTCTGCGATATGCTCACGACTCTCCTCATTCCTCCCAGTTGTGGGATGGTGTAAGGTAGGGGGAAGGTTCATGCACCTTTCCGATACGTGACCTGCGGAGATGTGTGCTGCTGTCCTCGCGCCTCCTGTTTTGGATCAACCCTTGCCAAGGACATATAGTAGTCCATGTGTAATAATCTTTCTATTCTCTCCGGAAAGATGTCCGCGAGATAAATACGGGCGCCTTCGGCCTATCTATATAGAGACTCAAACGACGCCTTCGGCGCCTTCTGTCGGGGACCCAGCTCTTGCGAGCCCTTTGGCACGCGTCCCCAGGTTTTGGGGTAGGGATGGCTCGTAAATGGATAATATTGCAGTTAGGGTCAAATGTCAAACGTCAAACGTCGAACTTCAAATGTCCGTTGTCGTTTTTCGGAAAGTGTTCGTTGTGTTTCCTCCTTTTGTGCATGGATGAGGGATAGGTAAGGGCTCCTAAGGAGGGATGATAGCTACTGTCCTCACCTGCGAGTAAGAACCCACCGTCATTATAGCGGTGTATTCGGGGCAACTTCTAATCTATAGATGCAGTGATAATGACCATGTGTGACGAGGGTGTCGAGGGAAGCTTTCGTTTCGTTAAATTGTTTTGTTCTGGAATGAAAGAGGTGGGACACTCGTAAACAATCGCAAAGAATATTTCCGCACAACGGCATGTAAGTTGTGAACTTTCAAGTTCATTGCACTTCACTACTTTGTAGGTTCAGTTTGTACAAGTACTTGTTGCACTTTGTACTAACTCTCTAGTTTGTATCGCTCTGTGTCAGGGAATTGAAGTTACCATGTAGTAATATATGAGAGAGAGAGAGAGAGAGAGAGAGAGAGAGTGAGTGTGTGTGTGTGTGTGTGTGTGTGTGTGTGTGTGTGTGTGTGTGTGTGTGTGTGTGTGTGTGTGTGAGAGAGAGAG